AAGGAATTGTTACAGCAAAGTTGCAGATCAATCGTTTTATCATAGGACATTTTGACTCTTCTGCCAAACGGATATTTAAGGTATTCACTTTATACGGAATTTAATATTGATTAATTGATAATAAAAGAAAGTTTTTACCAGGATGGACCATTTAAAAGTTATAGGTCATAAACTAAAAAAGTTAGAAAAAAAAAGAGAATTTAGAAGTTTCACCCTTTCCGTCTTGGACCTCTTCTTAGAACAGGACAAACTTAGGATATTTGATGTTCAATAAATAAATTAAAACCAATTTCAGCTTCCAAACACTTACTTCCAGCAACGCTGTCCAAAAGGTTCATTGGAAATTAATTTCTATCTTTTTTTTTGTAGGTTAAGCCAAACAGCCCAATGTTTTTGTAGGCCACTACATAATTTAACCTCAAATTTAATTTCATTGTCACACTGTATCTCTAAACTGAAAGAAATTTCTTAGAGCAAAAACCCACAAATCTGTTAATATAATTCTTTCTTGCCAAATATAAGGGATGCAGTAATTATTTTATTTACGATTTCAATGAAACCATTGTTCATTCATAGCTATGTGGCTAAAAAATTTCAGATCATTTATTGCTGAATAATTTAAAAAAGTTACAGGAGTTTCATATTTAAGTTCATGTTCAGCCCCGAGCCGTTTTCACAAGGCCGAATAAACATCTAAGTTGTATTTTTGCTGCAATTGGACATCATGATTTATCAGATGTTGTTATACCAATATCTCATCAGCATTTCCAAGAGTTGACATATGTGTAAATGAATATAATGATTTTAAAAGTTATTAACATTTACAATTTTTACATTCGCACTTATACATAATGTTTAATATGACATTTCAAATAATTTTCAAATACTCTGAGGGATCACAATAAGGAAGGCTTCAATGACTAATACCTTGCCTTAGTAATTTATCATCTATAGTAGTATATTATGCTAAACAGTTTGATTATACTTAATGATTTCAGGGGCAAAATCCGATTTAAATAATTCCTTTTGTAATAAAGATACTGTTTATTGAGAAATAGGCTTTACATGTTCAGACTCAATGGAATGAATTAGTAACCATATATAACAATATGGAAAACTGTAATCAATTAAGTTTTGTTGATTAATTTATTATTCCACTTGATTTGTATTATATCTTGTTTGAATTTAGAATTCTCAATAATGAGATACATCGTTTGCAGATATATTTTTTTTTTTAATAAGCCATTAGATTGCTATTGAATACTAGTTTTTTGTTTAGTTTTTCTGTTGGCATTAGAGACCTTATAGATCGCCTTTACCTTCTTCATCACTACCTATCTTGGGCGATTTTTTTTTAGTTATCTGCATGTAGCTCTATTGCTTCTTTATGCATTTATTGTAGATTCGATTAATTTTAAATTTCTCCTAGTTTCAGATTTTTCAGGATTTCAATAGTTTTGAAAGAGAGTAGAAAGCTCTGTTTATGCTTGTTATAAGCTGGTCTATTTCCGACCACTGATGATTCATTGAGGTTAATGTAGAGCTGGGAATTTAAATTGCTCTACCCTCGGAAAAAACTTTGTTTCTATGGAGATCCTGTTCTTGGAGTGGAATTTTTTGGTTATCATATATTTTGTTTTATCTGTACTTACTTGTAAGCCAACTTGCTCTGCTTCTCTCGTCAGAGTCTTAACGAGTTTTTCGATGTCCTCCTCATTGCTTCCAAGGACTGTTGGATCTGCCTATCCAAAGATTTGATGATTCATTCCAATGTGCACCTCTCTATTTTTATGTGATGTTATTCTTATCGCCACGACAACGTTAATGAAAGCCGGTAAAGAACTAGGACTCGAAATAAACGTGGATAAAACAAAATATATGGTTAGCTGCAAAAATGGCGATACTACTGGTGACATCGATATAGATGGTAATATGTTTAAACAGGTAGATAAATTTAGGTATCTAGGTTCAACGATAACTAGAAAAAACGAAATTGAAGAAGAGATTAAGGTTAGACTGAAGGCAGGAAATGCTTGTTATTTTTCTGTGACAAAGCTACTTAGTTCGCGCCTCTTGTCCCGGAACTTAAAAATTAGAATCTATAAAACAATTATCTTGCCTACAGTTCTTTATGGATGCGAAACTTGGACGCTTACATTAAGGGACGAGCAGCGTCTTAAGGTTTTTGAAAATAAAGTATTGCGTAGAATATTCGGACGGAAGAAGGATGAGTTAACCGGAGAGTTCAGACGGTTACACAACGCCGAATTGCGTGAGTTGTATCCGGGTAATATAATTGATGTAATTTCATTGCGGCGAATCAAATGGGCTTGTAAAGTTGTTGGGCTTAGTAACGAGAGAATTCCTAAAAGGTTAATATTTGCTATGCCAAATGGTAAGCGTCCGAGGGGTAAACCGAAGCGAAGGTGGGAAGATTGCATTAAAGCCGATCTGAAGGGACTGGGTTTGGACGGCGAACGGTGGAGGGAGGTGTGTAACAAGCGATTGGTGGTGTCGGCATCGAACCTTCGGGTTCGCTAAGCCTTATTATTATTATTATTATTCTTATCGCCATCTGCAGTGCTTTGTTGAACATCAGAGGGAATCCATTCCTCCTGTTCCCAGCCAGTTCAAACTATAAGGATTCAACTACTCCTTATATTCGGATTTGACATTCAGAATAATTTTTAACATGCCTTCGTCAATCAAACCAATTTCCAGTTGTCATGATTTTCAGAAGATATTTTTTATCCACAGAATCATAGCCTGCTTTACAATCAACAATAAGTTGTGCACATCATGAGCTTTTTAACATTGCTCATTGAGTACTTGTTTTAGGATGAAGATCTGGTCTTGTGTGGTCCTCTTCTCAATCTACCATGGTGGACGCCAATTATATTTTTGTAATATGGATGTATCCAGATTTAATAGGATATTCATTATTAGATTGTAGGCAACAGAAAGGAGTGCTATGCCTCGGTAATTACTATAATCATACATGGAGCAAAGGCAGACCTGGTCCGTTTTCCAAGACTCTGGTATACTTTCCTCCTTCCATATTTTATGGAATTTAATATTAACCCAATTTATGGCTGGGGGTGCCGCAGGGAATCTCTTGACTCCAGGCTCAATCTTAGACTGATATAGAAGAATAAATAACTACCTGCTATCAGCAGGATTTGAACCCAAGACCTTGAGCATCCTGCTCCCTATAAATAAATTAATATATCATTTTATTTTTTTTTAGGTTTGGATCAGGTTATACGAGTTAGCTCCTCAGACAGCGATACAATAAGAAAGATGGATTTAGAAAAAGATATTGTCTTTTTTGGCTATTACATTGTCTTCTGTTTCAAGCAATTGTTCCTATATCCCTATATCTTAATGTTTTTTTGCATTTATACTTTTCTTTGTAAAAAAAAGCATGAATAATAAAAAAAAATATATAAAATAAATAAAACCATTTAGTAACGAAAATATGATATTATTTGATTATCATAGTTTTACCAAAAAGCGTCATCAAATGTATACAATTTTTATAATTGTTACTTTGATCATTAAAAATCTTGTATTATATTTTAAAATATTGCACTACTTATAACATTTAAATAAATAAATTGGATTTTCAATACTTTTTTCAAACTTAAAAATATTTTAAAAGGTTACATTTTTTTTAGTAAATTTCATTTAATTTCCTTGAAAACATGTGATTTACATTAAATATTATTAGTTTTTAAAAATTATTATTGATAATTTTTTTGCTACTCTCCGTTACCTTCTACAACTTTCTATATTAGATATTGTTTTTGCTAAAATTCTCCGCTTTCCAACGATATTAATTATACGTATACCTTCTGACTTGTATTTCCGGAGATTCATTTTCGACCTGGATAAGCATTTTTATTTTTTTCTCCTTTGTTCAATTATCAAATTCTTTCAAAAACTATATTTATCATTTTTTCATAACTTTTAATAATATGAGGTAGTTAATTATTTATAATAAACCATATTAAAGGTATTTTAGAGGAAGCCGTATATGAACATTGGGCATTTAACCCCTGTAAAGTGACATCAATGGGGATAAGACCTGATTGATATTAAAGACTGCTTCATTATACAATGATACACCGAGTTTAATCAAAATCGTTATAGCCGTTTTTGAGAAAATTGTAAAAATGTTTTTCAGCATTGATATAAAGTGGCACTACCGGTTAGCCGATTTTAAGGAAAAAATTGCTGTCACATTTAAGGCGTATACCTATCTTAAATATGCGTATATATTATATACGCGTATATTATCAGTATATAATATCAGTTTCGTATGACTTTTCGTTTTTGAGCTAGACTGTTCACATACACTGACACTCGGACCATTTTGCCGGAACTTGGGTTATTTATACTCAGGTGAGCTCAAAACGTGTATTTCTCTTGAAAACTCAGATTCAAAAATTTTCACGATCACAATAATTTCCCTTACTATATATTACATATATAGGTAAGTGAAAGTAAAAATATATTGAAAAATAAACAAAATAGACTAACCTTGAAATCCCTAGGAAACCTTAGAGAACATAAAAACTTTTTAATACAACTAAATATGTTTTGTGAACCTATTTCAATTTTTTAGTAGTTTATAGTGCTATAACGCAACAAAGTTATTATCCAGATCGCACTTCTATATTCCATTCTGTATAAATGAGAGAACTACAAGCCAACGACAAGTCTTGCTGTTCTGAAACTTTTCACTCTGAGGTTCATGTTGTGCCCTTATTTGGGCTTAAAAAGTGGGCATCATTAGAGTTAAATAATAAATAAATATTGTTTTTTTCTGCCAATATTAGCATTGTTTCTTAAGTGATAAATTAGAGAATAAAATATTTAAGGAGAATCCAGGTATGTTCTTCTTTATCACTCACTTATAAAAAATTATGTGTAAAAAAGAAGACTACTCAAATTATTAATTTCATATTTAACTTATGAAGGAGAATTAAATGACATACTCTATTTTCTTGAAAAAATTATAGACTTCTTTTTTAGTTTCCTCAATTCTATCAGCAACAAAGTCATATTTATGGTCCCTGTGAAGTTCTAGCTGGCAATCCCGACATGTCATAGCATGACATGTATGACATACAATAGTTAATTGATTCTAAAAAAATAAAAAAGTAATATAAACAATGTGAAGCTAAGTTTATTAGTTAACTAACTAAATTTTCTATTACAAGCAACCTTATAAAACAAAGCATTATTACCTGAGGGTGTATTGTACAGGGGAATACTTTTTTGGGTTCTCCGATTGTTATGCTATTTAAATACTCATCTTTTGTTTTAATTCTATGTTCTCTTGTAGACTTGAGCTGTCCATGGTGCTAAAAATATATTCCAATTTATCATATTTGTCAAAAGGGTAAGATGAAATGATGGTAAGAACTATCAAAACACAGAGTAAACTTTATATATACTTGAAATCACTCAACTGTTCTTTTTTTTTCTATTTTTTGTCAAAAATCTTAAATAAACAGTTTAATTTTTATTTGCATAGACACGATTTAATTCCACAAGATATTGACACAATCAGAAATAACTGTAATCCAAGAATAAATTAAAAAAATACTCTAGACTTGACTGCTATGAACCTGTATCAAAGCAAAAATATTTCAAATCCGAAGAAACATTCAAATCTTGATTTAATCAAAGATTTAGATTAAAAATTTAAAGAAATGTAATGCTTGGACTACATATAATTATTTAACCTACAAAGAGGTCACAAATTTATTTACTATCTGTAGTTTAGAAAATCACAAGTACTTTTAAAAAACATTTAAGAATTAATGTAAACAAGAAAAATATTATTAAGTTAGATAGATATTAGCAAAGAAAGCCTTATAAAATATATAAGTAATGGAGCTGAACTTACAACTACGTTTTAGTAAATTTTGATCATATTTATTGATGCCAAAATGAGACAAAACCTTTTAGACATCAAAAATACTCACACTAAATGCACAATATTCTGATTTAAGGAGGGAAAATTCATTGAAGTAGTTCCTGATTTAATTTTATGAAATGTTATATAACGAGTTTTTGCAATAAACCAATGATATGGAAGTACTTACTACAAACAGAACTTATATTATCTCAGAATAATTCTAAAACAAATGTTAGATAATGTCCGGAGAATCTTTGGTGAGGATTGAGGAACAATCTGATAGATAGAAGAACACAACATTGAGAGAAGCCATCGTTAAGGAATGCAACAGGCGCCAGGTCACTACCACTAAGAGGGTTACCCTAAGGAAGTATTTTCCTATCATCCAGTCTCGATAACTAGCTGACAGTAAAACCTGAGTATAGGATCTCTTGATTCCTTATGGTTCTGGAGCCAGGGCCCAAAAATCGACCTCATCGCAGGCAAAGGTTTGATTGTAAATTACAAAAGTGTATGTTATTCTGAGTAAAAAAAACCTTGTCTGCCGTTCCAGGGCTGCTGCTTCCAAAAATGACAGCTGATTTAAAGAATATTAGCCCAGTAATTTGAGGATCGTAACGGGAAACCGATTGCAAAAAACGTATAAATAGAAAAAATTTTATTTTATTAAATTGAATATAAGGGTTTTGACATGTAAAAAATGAAATTGCTTACACGGACCACCAAGGGAAAACTTTTTACAGCCAAAAAAGTCAGATTTTTTCAATATTATTTTGTTCTTTCACCTATAACTCCTAAACAATACATCAAAGCAAAAAATGTATTCTTTAATAAATTGAAGAACGTTTAATTGTGCGTCGAATGAGTTCATAAACTTTATAACTTTGTTTCGTGGTAAGGTATAAGACCATGGTCAACCTATGCTGATTTTTACGAAATTTGTCAAATATTGAGGCAAACTACAATAAATGGCCCTGCAACTTGAAAATGAGTTCCTCAAGAAGAAAAACCAACAGAATCAAAGTTGTAGGTCATCAAATTTTGTGTCCAATGAGTACCAACTAATTTTATGTAAATCACTTTCACCGAACAAAGTCGGTAATTTCCCGATGGTTAGAAAATGATAATGAAGGTAAATGTGATTTTCAATAATTCAACAGTATGGGTGTCTATTCTACTGACTTATTTTTGTTTAGAGTCTGTTACATGCAGTATAAGCCTCTTTTTACCTCCCAGATGAGAAGGATTTTGATAAACGATGTGTCGAAAGATAACGTATTTCATAAAGAAATAACGAATCCCAATTCGAGATACATAATTGGCTTACAATGAAAATGTCAGTACTTAGTGGACGCAAAATTTGATGCTCTACAAATTTGATTCTTTGGATTTTTCCTCTTAGAGAACTCATTTCTCACAAAGTTACAGGGCCATTTATAGTAATTTCTTTCAATTTCTTACAAAGTTAGTGAAAATCAGCTTTGGTTGACCGTTGTTTTATACCTTACCACGTAACCAAATTCTAAGATTTAAGTACTCGTTCGACACACAATTTAATGTTCTTTAATTTATTAAAGAATACATTTTTCGCTTTGATGCATCGTTTAGGTGTTATAGGTGAAAAAACAAAAAAATATTGAAAAATATGACTTTTTTGGCTGTAAAGTTTTCCCTTGGTGGCCTGTGTTAGCAACAAAGCAGGTTTTCTTTTTAAATTAAAATATTATTTTATTTTTACATTTTTAGTTTTTAAAATATTAACAATTCATTTTCAAAACATATGATCACAAAATTATGATATAATTTTATAATCGATACTTAAACTATAACAAATTATTTGTTTGTTTAGGCTTTAAGGCATAAAACCCTAGGGTCATCAACACCTGTAAACTATAACAAACTTATTTTCAGTATTCAGAAATTGAGCTTAATTTGTTTCAAAGCATTCACAGGATTTAACTGAGTGATAACAGCCATAAAAGTTAAAATTCAATCCATATTAGCGGATTGCTTAGACATACTTTACACAGTAATTTGCCAGAATTTTGAGCTAAAATTCTTTCAAAACACTCACAGAATCTCACCAAAGATATCAAACATAAAAATCGTTCTAGGCTTACATTTAAAAATCGTTACATACCTCTTAGCAAATCAATTTAACACATTTTATTCAATCATGGGCAAGTGTTTTTAACTTAAATTGTTTCAAAACCCTCACAGGCTCTCTCACCTAATAATTTATGTTATTAAGTTTAAAAATCGACCCAGCCCTTACCTCGAAACAGCCTTACAAAGCTTTCTGCAAATTGATTAAACACATTTTATTTAATGATGATTCAGTATTTTTAACTCATGTTGTTTTAAAACAAATCACGGGATCTCACTGAATAATTTGAGCCATCAAACGTAAAAATTGATTAATCCGTTCATTCAAAATAGCGTTACTAAACTTCTTTGAAATTGATTAAACATATTTTATTTAATAATGGGTCAGTATGTTTAACTCAAATTGTTTCAAAACACTCAGGGTATCTCACCGAATAATTTGAGCCATCAAACTTAAATACAGTTATTCGCTCAAAATAGCATTACACAGATTTTAACAGACGATTCAAACAAATAACGATCATTTCTCTTCGCTTAATCGGATGATTATATTAATGTCACTAAAAACAAAACTTCAATTTACTTCAACAGTCAAGCAAAATTTGGAATTACAGGTAAAATACATGTTAAAACTAAAGTATATGTTTTAGAACTAAAATTATAGAATAGATGTCCTATTATTTATCATAATTCAGATGTCAATAAACCTTATGAAAGTCGTTTTCAACTGATTAAGGATTAAAGGTTGTAGTTAATAACAAATCATTGAATAAATTAGTATTCAGTTGTCAAAGGAAATTTGAAAATACCTTGATAAAAAATAAAGAAACACTTTATAAAAACTTCAAAAATATGAACTGGATATTTCTTAAAATGGAAGCATGACAAATGATAAAAGTTTTATGTAAATCTTAAAATCACTTCTAATTGAACACAATTTCAATGAAAAATTTCAAGAAAATAACACAACTTACATTAACACAATCTTCACATATGAACTCGGCACAGTTTTCACACCAATGAGTGACAGGAGCATCATGAATATTACAAACTTTACCCTCAGTATCGGGTACTTCAATGTCTGAAACTATTTCAGATAAAACTTTATTTTCTCTAACTTCACCCTTTTTAGAAGGCATCTGGCACTCTGGGCACGATTTTTCTTCTGAAATAATTAACACTAAGTTTAAATATAAAATTTAGGCTATTGAAATTTAATTTTTAATTAATAATGTCACCATAATTCAATCAAATGTAATCAAATAATTACCATACTCATCCCAAGACGTATAACATTGACTACAAATCGCATGCAAGCACTGTAGTAATTTAGAAACGTTTATTTCACTTCTTGTAGTTAAATTTTTTTTACAAAAAATACAAACTGTGATGAACCAGGGTTCTTCTGTGTCTCCTTCGGGTTCCATATCGTTCGAATCCATAATTTCTCCACTCATTTTTCTAAATAATATAGAGAAAACATAAGAATCTCAATTTTCATCAATCAAACATTTAAAACTTAACGTAATTAAGGCAGTGAATACAACTGCACCTTCTTGATGTTATAAACATCACTATCGAAAAGTTTTGGAATCGATTATCTTGTTTATCGTGATTCCCATAATCGAGTTGAAATAATACTATTTAGTAATGAAAAAAAAAGGTAAACTCATTTTAAAAGTTTACATTAAATTTAGATAAACTTACTTAAACTTTTTAGAACTCATGGAATTTTCTGAATTATTTCTTTTTCTTGTGGATTTCGCATCATTTTCATAAGGTATTCCATAAATAAGTGCAAGAATGAGTTTTTCAGCCTCGGCGCTCATTTTATTAATTAATAATAAACACAATGTAATAGTTAACTATTTTCAGTATATTATTCTAATGGGGAAATAGGCCAGCTACATGCTTGATTAACACTTTCTGCTCATGCTGAATCGTCATTTTGTGGAGCACTGCAAGCATATAAAACGATAAACTTTAAATTTATGGGATGATCTGGAATCTTTTGTAAATAATGCTGGTCTGGAAACTGTAATATTATTATTACTTTTCCCTCGAGATATAATGTATATCTATAAAATATTTATAAATTATGATTAAAATAAGTATTCACTTGATTGATACCAGTGTGCTGAACTAGAGTTCAGTAAAATTGCACATACATAAATTCCAAACCATTCATTACTCATCATTATAATTGATTAAAAATTAACAATATTCGTTAATGCATTAAATAATTTGTGGACAAAATAAAAGCATGCATTTCGATAAATATACATATTACTGATCGATATACACCAACACATTATGATTATTACACATCAATTATTATATTAAAACATTTTTGAACTAAAACTTATACTTGTTCTAAGTTTACCAATCACAACGATATTACTTTTACTGCTATTTAATATTAATTTTAACTTAAGCCTTGGTGATTTACATAAAATGTCGCAGCGCGAGTGTATTGGCAACACCTAATTAAACAGTGCTTTTATCCGCCAAATATTAATGGAGTGATTGTGTACCAAGCAAAGAACCTAGGAGTCCTGAAGTAAGTTTGTTTGTTTTTTAATTTGTTTCAGTATTATATAGTTTGTAACTTGTTTCTTAAAAAGTATAAAAAATGACTTATGATAAGCAATTTTTGTTTTTGAATTTTTAAAGAAAGTATCATCTTATTAATGTTATAAGACAAATATTTAAAACTGTCCAGACATTAAATTCAGTTATTATTCACTACATATCCCAGGTATAGTCTCAAGAAACATTTGAAATTGAAGAAATAACGTTTATATTAACTAATAATAAGATATGTACTGATTAATTTTATATTCGTGGTATTCTAGGAACAGATATTAAAAATAAAAAATTATCTGACATTTAAACTTAATAAAGAACGTAAGAAAATTAGAAAAAATTAGCAGACAGATAACTAAATATTTACTAATAAATATGCATAACTAGCAATTGCAATGTGCAATTGTTTCTTGAAGTGCCTTTTAACATGGATGGAATGATTCCATGATTCACGACCAACATCACATCCCTGGGCTAGAGATTGGAAAAATAATCAATAGCAAACTACATATCCTTCCATCGAAGGCCACTTAGTCATTCTCCACCCTTTCCGAAAATCTTTCGAGGCGGCATCCAATGTAGTGGTGGGATCGAAATAATTTAATGATCTAAAACACTAGCGGATCCAGGATTTAATTTTGGGGGGGGTCTTCAGCCCGAAAGAATTTTTTTTCATAAAAATAACTATAATTACTTCGGAAAAAAAGAAAGAAACTAACTACCTATATGAAATGGTGTTTAAGTGATTCCTAAAGCCCTTTTGAATGTAATTACACGAACAATAGTACTTTGAGAGATAATTTTTTTATGTTTTTTTTCGATAAAACATGGTTATATTTTCCCATTTTGGGGGAGACTTCAGCCCGAAAGCCTCCCCCCCCCCCCGTAGATCCGCCCGTGATCTAAAATAATAAACCAAAATATATGTGCAGAACTATATCTGGCTGTATCTTTGCTAATAATGGTCTGATTTTCTTAATTTTTTTTGTTTGTTGTGGTGTGAAATACTATAACCGTTGAAAAGCTGAGTCCATGATCTTCAAAATCATGTCAATAACTTTTATATTTAGCTTTGCCTTTGTAAGGAATAAATAAGTAAAAACTCCTCACACCGTTTTTATTTATATCTTTAGGTATGCTATATTTACGGGGGTCTGGTTTGTGTCATTTCCTAAGTAAATAAAATAAATAAGTAAATATTTCCTTATATATTATATGTCTTACATCTTTTTTAATCTTCTAGAAGTGTTAACTTTTGACTAGAATCCAGCAGTTCATTCCCAAACTCAGCATACATCGCTGTCCATCGGTGCTGGGTTCAATCGATTGCTGGATTCCTGGACCTAGCACTAAGTTTAGGAATTCGCCCTAACTCACAGGGGTGTCCAGACGAGGGTTTCATGGCACAAGTTGCACCAACAATATTTTTGAGGGGGGTACATTTCGGAATGAAAATTTTGAAACCAGGGGAGAAGAGGAAACACGGAACATACCGCAGCAAGAGTAATTGTATGTGATCTATGATTTTTTAATTCTACTTTCGCTTGCACTGGTTTCAAGAAGAAGAGAGCAATGAAATATCTTTGAGAGGAGGAAGTGGATCATGCGTCGTCGACTTAGAGAGGGATGGAAATCCCTGCTAATTCACATGTTATTAAAATAACACGTTATCATTTGGTAACTACTAACCTTAAAAAATATACTACAATTATTGTTTAGTCATCACTACTTTAGTGTTGAACATAATTTTTTTTTAACTACATTTTAATGAGTTCAGGGTGAGAACTAGGATTTTTCCGTGGGGGGCATGTTTAATTGTAGGTATTAAATTATGACATATATTTATAAATAAATAAATCATCTCATACCGTTAATTCATTTTGTTATTGCGCTCGGATAAAAATAATAAACACGATGGAACAAATAGTTTTTACTTAACCCAAAAAATAAAATTTGTTCTTAATCTGTCACCCTCAAACTACTGCCTCCTTTGGCATACCTTCGCACTTGTTCTAAAGGTGTCCCTTGGAAGTAATCACATCAAATAATTTTGAATGTGCAACTTCAACTTTCAACTTTGTTTCTGGTTTCTTATTGTTACGATAGGCTTGATAAAGCATTATCAACTTAAAGTATGGCCTTTTTAACGGTTTTTCTAATGATATCTAAATAACGTCAGTTAACCTGTTCTTACTTAACAAATTATTAAGGTATAGTTAATGTATTACATGCTACTTTTTTAGTTATTTCACTTTTAGACCTATCTCTCAGTTTTGGTTTAGCAGTTAGAAGATATAACAGCCCGGTATAATTCCGGTTTGTCATATTTGTTGTCTAGTCAGCGAGAGCATAATTTTAAATACATTGTATATATAATTACTCTCGAACGGTAAAGATTGCAGGATGCAGAGTCTTCCACTCCTATTATATGCAGATCTTGCATTAAATTATCGTTGCATGTAGCTTTCTCGCCAGGTCGTCTAGTAACCGTTCTTCACTAATAAACAATTGGCTCCATTCGAACTCAAAGAATTCATCTTTATGAATTCCAGCAACAGAACCTTATGTGACTTTTTTATCTCTTCCCTAGCTCTATAGAACCCGGTTTTTATGGCACCTGTTATTGAAGAATTTGTAAATAAATACTCGGAGACCCAATAAATAAACTATCTCATTCTGAATTATTAGTTTTAGATTATTTTTTTGTTAGGTATGGCCTTTATTGTCTGTATACATGTTATAATTAACATGTCCCTAAATTTTATTAGTGTAGATGTTTACTTGTACTTGACACTGGAATATCTTGCTATGATCATATGTTTCTCTAAAGCAAAGCACTTTTAGGAGAGTCATATCACCCTCTTCTGGGCACCCCTAGTACTACCTAATAATTTGGAGGAATCATCCACCTTTTCCCATTAGTGGATGCAATGCACTCATCTTTTTCCTGAACGGGAACTGTAAAATACTGATATTTCTATGAAGTTTATAATTTTCCGCTTACGCTGCGGATTATCTAAGCACCATAGAAACAGCCTTGATTTTTCAAATACATTTTCATTTCAGCTTTGCTCTTTTCCTTTATTAGTTATAATGATTTTGTATCGTACATTATAAATATAGAATATGTTGATCGCGGTGAATCAAACCCTAAAGAATACTTTAGGGTGAATCAAAACATACATTTACTTTTCTTTCTCCACCTCCATAATGCCGTTAGGGATGTTGGGGGCTAGCTTATGAATTTTATAACAATATTATCTCTACTTTTTTTTTAACAATACTATCTCTGCTTTTTTTTAACAATACTATCTCTACTATCATACTTCTTTGCCTCTTCCAAGACCAACTATATATCCATCATAAGTAATTCAGTGCCTGCCAAGACAACTAGTGATCAATGAGGACGAGTCATATTCGTCGCTTATTCTGCAAACTTGTCCAAACCACTTCAGTTACCTTCCTTCTAGGTTATTTCATTTTTAAAAGTTATTAAACCATATCTAGGTAGGTCTCAAGGACGGTTTCAATCACAGGGAAGACACAAATACTAATAATGCAAGTTTGGAGAGAACCGTGTGTTTATTGAGTTTCAATTTGAAGGAACTTTCAAATAAGAACAAAGGAAGAAACTTGGATTATATCAGTGGTCCGGTTCAAAACCACGTGGTCAAAAAACGTGGCCCTCAAAAACTTGTGTGAGTGTGTGTGCGTTTGCGTGTGCGTGCGTTTACGTGCTTGTGGGTGTGTAAACTAACTGATATTTTAGAGATATTTTAAAACAAAAAAGTATTTCATTAACTAAGGACAGAAAAAACTCGCAAAATTATTACCTTTTTTTTGTCCTCCCCTTTCTCTCCTTTTTGGCTATGCGGGGTTTTTCCCGGGCCATGGTTGAGGGCGGTGGCTTTATGTCACAGTAAAAAGCTCTTCTGACAACGAGACGCGAACTCATAATTGATTTATCATATTTATTTCAGTTAATCTGCTTAATGTTGCTGGGCCACGCATCTTTTTGTTTGCATAGGTTGCAGACGCTTGGTCTGCTACCCCCGCCTCCCCAAAAAGTATTATTTGTTAGAATATTGTACTTAATATTATATTAAAACAAAACCTGGAGTTTCTGATGTAACAATAAATAAGTCGGCGTTTCCCTAATTCATCTTTCTAATCAGGACCGGAATTCTTAATTCATATAAATGCAAATCAAACAGGGATCAGCACAAATAAACTTAGAAGAAAA